TAAGCACTGATCGTCTGGTCATCCTTCTCTATTTGTTACTGACCTGTGGATCTTTTGCACTACTCCACGTCTACTTTGGTGGATAATATAACAATGTTTTACTCCATATATAGCTGGTGGACCACAATGTAAGTACATTTCACAGCTTCCTTTTTCTATTTTTGTATTTACGTTCCTCATGTGGTCCTGGCTTTCTCATATCTTCTGTCATATTTGCTCCGCACAGAAATGGAAAATTGATTTCGAAACAGATGATTTTTTTACATACGGCAGTATTATCCGGTTTTTATGTCATTTTTCCGCGCAAAAAAATCATTCTGAAAATGTATTTATTTTCCGGCAAAAACAAACAAACAAACAAAAATTTAATTTTAAGTGAGTTTCTGACTGATCTAGATCTTAAGTAACTTTAGTATTCATTGATATTCATACTCAAGAAAACAACCCACTAATTCACCAGTTCTAGTGTACAAAAATATGAATTTATCAAATTTATATCTTCTCGATCTAACATAATATCGGACTTTTTAAAGGTTAGTGTTAATTAACAGCCCATAATAATTTATCATAAAAACATTTAAACAAAAAAGCCTCCTAGTATCAGATGATTATTGTACTTACGAGTATTTATGACTACTTTTATATGTATACCTGGAATAAAGCAAGCAATGACTATATTGACAGAAAAGAAACAGTTCCTGTGATTTGTTCTCTCTAGTTATTTTTCGAAGAACCTAAGCCTAACAGTTTCCTGTCAGTGGTGTTCCTTTTTCCGTTTCCTAGTTGAAAATTTGCGTGTAATGTTTGAAGATCGTATAACTTGAGTTTGGCTCTACTCGTCAACTAACCTAACGTAACCAACATGAACTCCCCGGCTATCGTCATAATCATCTTTAGTACTCTTATCTTCGTAGAGACTTGGATAAACGAATGGGATGGCGTTTTGAACTTTCGGTGTCAACAGAAGGACTCCATCAAGACCATACTTAGGTTTTGCTTTCTTAAAGTATTTTTAAAGTTTACTTATCATCTTAATGGTGCTAAATTTGTTTTACTTTTTGGAACCTTAAGAAGTTACAAAATAATATACTATTTAAAAGTGACTATTTTTACCTCCTGTACAGCCCATGGAAATAGACTCGCGTGCTTTAGTTAGGAACTGCAGCTCTTTATAGCGTTCACCAGATTGTTTGATTTACAATTAGTCGTATTCTTTCAAAATTCAAGAAGTAGAATTACCTGAAAAGCATGTACTAAAACTCTATGTGATATGTTGTTTACAATAATTTGAATAGACAAAGTTTTAACGTTATATCTAAAACTGAAATTTCGTATTTTTACAATATAGCATATATATATATATATATATATATATATATATTGTGATTTATCTCTAGTATCCATAGTAACCATCACGAGGATAGGCGTTGGAGTTTCGTGTGTGAAAGAACTTTTCAAGATCCATTGTGCTATTTCACGAACTA